TTCTTTTTTGGACATCGCGATCCTTTGGCCGGCGAGGCAGGCCAACAGCGAGAAGCGCGCCGGCGCCTGTCGCGTCAAACTGAAACCCCAGCCACGGCTGTTGGTTGTTGTTGTTGGTGATGTGATGAGTAAGTATTCTCGGATCCCGAAAACACCCATTCTCGGCACCGCCTACCTACCTATTTCCATCTCACCGAGCACGGAACATCATCCGACGACGCCAAAAACGGTTATCCATCACGGCCGCCATCACCGTCCGCGCGCGCCGCCGTCACCCGAGGTCGAGAAGCGAGAACCGCGTGGGTGACAGGACGACGAACGTGCGTGCGTGCGTCGACGAGCACGCGTAGCGCACGCGCGAAAACGGGTTGGCCTTATCGAGGGCGGACCGGGGAGAGAAGAAGCGTGGGTGTGGCGTTTGTCGAGAAGAGCCGACCCGCAGCTGAAGATTGGTGGGCGAAGAAAGTCGGCGACTCGGGAGTTCGGGGCACGGTAGGCTCCGTGGTCCGTCTTGTTGCTCTCTTCTCCACTGTTCCTGGCCCTGTCAGGTCCGGTGGGTGATGTCCGGGGTTCCCCAGCTCGAATCGCCGATGATATCACGTCACTGCGCGCCCGCGCGCGGCGGCGGTGATGGTTCGAGGTTGTTTTCTTTCTGCAGTTCACTTCCCCGCGAGATCAACAACAACAGCGATGCCGATGGGGACTTGAGATGCACGTGTCATCTTTCCGGGTAAGGTGAGGGGAGGGATCTTATTCCTCGCTTCTGCCCGTCCTTTGCGGATCGTGGAGAAGAATTGATTATTTCCCCGGCTTTGAGGCCGGCATGGGTGAAGGCGGGACGAAAAGCCTGATGAGGCAGATGAGCATTTCCCAAATCGACGACTGGCCCAGCCCGCCCCGAACCGTCTGCCAAACTGCATCGGAAAGCATCGCGGTCTGGATGAGGGCCCGACCTGTCGTGCGAGGACAAGATGATTGGATGCAAATCACGGAGCAATACGGGCGGTACTATGGGGTATTTTTTTCCTTCTCTCTTCTTCCTCAGCGCCGTCCCGCCGTGGTATCGCACCGACAACGGCGGTGGTGGACGTTGAAGGGAAATATTGCGACTCTGCACCGTACCGTTGCTGTCGGCGATGGTAACCCACGCCGTTCAGGTCGGTCCAGAAACAGGCGTCCCCGCGCCAACCAATGGGCGGAGGGCTGCCCCTGACAGGTGCGGGAGTCGGGAGTTTTTTTGGGGGGCACATGTGAAGTGGTGGGTGGGGAGATGAGCTGGAGGTGATCGTCACCAGTCGGGCAAACGCACCTGCGTCATGGCGGGCACCAAGAGCGCGGGGTGTGGATGCCACGATGGCTGGAACGGGCATTCTTCAACTTGGGGAAAGAACACCTCGCCGGTTTCCTTGAAGATGTGATTCTGTGTTGAAAAAGAAACAGAAGGCGCATTCGGCCCTTATAGTCAACGACGTCATTGGCGTGTCTTGGTTGGAATCTTCAACCACGATGGCGGAGGCGGGGTCAATCGTGACACCAAAACGCAGCCACCGTCATTCTCGACGCCATCGTCAACAAGATGTGCGACCAAGGCGTGTATTACGATTATTCTTATTACGAGGTCAGGAATATTCGACGGTCAACCTCTCACCGGCACGCATCTCCTGCCGATCCATGACTGCAGTCCCGTCCCCTATCTTTGGCGCAGCATCGATGGCAGTGCTGAATATTGACGTCAAAGCGGATACCGGTCGAGTCGAAAGGAGAAAAGGAGAAAAATATCACGGCTGCGGCTGAGGGAACCGGTGTGCTTGCTGGATCCATCTTGGTGCTGTCCAGTGGTGGTTGAAGTCGGGGTGATGGTCGTGGTAGCGAGTGTTTGCTCTGGTGGCGACATCACTCGTCGGTCAGAGGTATAGGGGCCCATTCCGCTGTCAACCTGGGTCCATCACCGATGGTTCAACCAGACCATGGCCAACCAGCCTCCAGTTTCACCTTGATTGACTTCACCGCGGCGCGTACACCAAGGCCAACTGATCAACCTCGTCTCCATCCTGGCCCATGAAGCCCACAACCTGCCACCCCGACGGCGCCGCCAGCACCGCACAATCCCCCGTCCGAGTCCCGGCCGCCAGACTCCTCCCGGCCGACGTCCCGGCCCGGAGGTAGAAATTCCGCGTCCGTCCGTCCTTCTGCCCCTGACACAGCTCGGCCTCGACCCAAAACTCGTCCCTGGCCAAATTCAACACCACCTCCTTTCCCCCACTCCCCCCGTGCGTCAACCTCGTCCCATCCTCCAACACAACCCCCACCCCATCCAACCGACTCCCCCCCCTCAGCACCACCACCGCCGTCTTCACCCTCCCACCCTTGCCCCCCAACACCCCCACATCATTAAACCACCTCGCCCCATGCGGCCCTCCCCTAAACTCACTCTGCCTCAACCCTCGCCCCCCCACCGTCCAGCTCAAGTTGGCCGCCACGGGATTATGATCCGTCAACACCCCACCCCCCTCCCCCCTAAACCCCACATACCCAAACCCCTCCGCCCCGACCCCCACCACCCCCCCTCCCCTGAACAGCACCTTATCCACCGTCTCGCACCAATCCGTCAAACTCGGATTCTCGCACAACGACTCCTCCCCCGGCACCACCCCTCCCCTCTCCACCTCCACCCACGCATCGCGGAACCCCGCGGCCAAAAACCCCCTCAACCCCGTGTCGGCGACGCGCGAGTACCTGCTATTCGTATCCCCCGCCACCACCACCGCGTTGCCCACACTCCACGCGTCGATATACCCCAGCACCTGCTCCATATTCGCCTGCCGCGCCGCCAAGTCGGCCGGCTCCCCCCCGGCGTCGGTGTGCAAGTTGTACACGTCCACGTACGCCGCCTCGGACCCGGACCGCTCGGACGCCAGGAGAAGACGCATGAAGGTGAAGCCCTTGGGCGTGAGGCAGTCGGCGCCCGAGGCGGAGGAGCAGGTGGTCCATTTGATGCGCCGGACGTCGGACGCGAAGGACGGGAGGCGGGAGAGGGTGTTGAGGCCGGAGCCGAAGGGGACGCCGCCTGAGGTGGCGGTGCGGTGGGGGAAGGAGGTGGTGGTTGAGTAGAGGGCCGCGTGGTAGTTGAAGTCTTCTTGGAGGTGGATGAGGGCGTAGGGCGAGGCGGAGAGGAGGGTGCCGAGGAGGGCGGTGTTGGTGGTTTTGGAGCCGGGGACGCCGTTGGGTTGGAGGATGGAGGGGAGGCCGGCGATGTTGATTGTCAGAAGGGGGAGGAGGCCGGTGGTGAGGAGGGCGTTGGCTGTCGCCGGGAGGAGGAGGGCGTGGGAGGGGCGCATGTTGCCGGTTGGGTGCGGTTGACTGGAGGTGCTGCGCTGGAGGATGGATGGTGGGCATGATATGTTCTTGGGATCACGATCACAGGCCGACAGGAGAGGAGGGTCTGGCATTGACGGCAGTCGAGTGTCATTCAGTTCATTTCGTTGTTTACTAACTGGTATGCACGCCCGGTCGGTAGCCGTCGTCCTGCCCCATCCGGGCCCCTCCCCGGGGCCTCGGCGCCGGGCTGCCCGCGCGATGTCACCTGGCCCGGAGATGGCCGGCAGTTGTATAATCTGGGGAAGCCACCGCCGGCGCGGCACTGCGTCATGGCGGGATACTAACGGTGAGCTCTGTTGCTGACGTCAACTCCGACTTGAGTCCAACCCCTTTTTCACGATATCGCCATCCGCGTCATCCACCTGCAATCCGTTCATCGAGGTTCTCACACGGACACTCCGAAATAGCAGCAACCCAGTCCCCTTCATGCGCCTCCTTTTCTCGTTTTTCTTCTCCTCTTCCATTCTTATTCTCCCTCAAACGAAACACCCGCGGCAGTCGACGCTGGTGAGGTCGTGCGTGGTGGTGGTGGTGGTGTGAGGGGAACATCAGACTTTAGCCGTCTCAGATCTCACCCCCTTTCCGTCCACGCCCACGCCACACCACACCTTTAAAATAGCGCCCTGGATCACCGTGATCTGGGTGGTCCGAGTTTTGGAGGACGTCGATCGGATGCTCTTGAACCCGGATTCACGACGCGCACCATGTGGAAGCGTGCTTATAGGGTGATCTTATGGGTGGTGGTGGGACAGGGGGGTTCGGTGTGGTGGGAGATGAGGGTTATGCGATAGTTGGGTGATACGATTTGGTCAGTGTGGTATGTGGTTGTGTTGCTGGTGGTCGCTGCCAGTTGAAGATTGCTCCCTATTGATGATGTGTGGGTGTATTGCTCGAGGCAGTCGTGGATACAGGTTTCAACATTGAATGGAGATGGTCTCTCATCGCTTGAGTTGTTGGTATCAAGAGCTCTCTTCCTTTTTTCCTCCGCTCGAGTCGCAATCATAAACGTATTTGGGCCAAGGACGCGAGGTACTCTGCCTGAAGTAGGATGGGCATTGCCTGAACACCTCAGGCTACCTACTAGGTCTGCTTCTTTGGCTTCTCAGGCTCATAGGAGTTTCCAACTTCAAGTCCGTGAAATACACATGTCTGGTCAGGTTTTCTTTTCCCGTCTCTCCACGAGGTAGTCCTTGCAGTGATACGCCTCAGTTCATGGAACACATGAAGAAATTGTCCAATATCGCACTCTGAAACGGCCGTGATGACGCTGTTCCCAATTTTGATTTCTAGTAACGTCAAGACGGTGACAAATGTTAGCACCGTTGATACTGACAACTCAGGCATCGGAAACGGAAGGCGAGGACACAATACCAGCCTGTCTTCACGCCCGTTTGTAGCCTCAACCCATTCCATGTCCCTCCCCCGCCCAAGGTCTTAAACACCAAGGTTAACACCAAGTCCCCCCCCCCCATCTCCAACCACCTCCAACACTCATCAAAGCCATTCCATCCGTACTGACAAAGTCCCCATACCTCCAAGAACACCCAGACGAAAAACCCCAACTTGGTCACCCCGTCCGTTACAACGTCCTCCCCGAGCCCCATACTCCAACAAACACACCAGGGCGGGTGGCTCAGTTGGCAGAGCGTTCGCTTCGCAGTTCCCTGTAGGAACACCTCATTGTTAGGAGACCCTCGTCGGATACAGTGTAAATGCGGTGGCATCATGGTACCCCGTATGCGAAAGGTCCCCGGTTCGACCCCAGGCCCGTCCAGAGGTAGTATCTCCTGTTTTTTATTTTTGTTATTTTATTTTTATTTCTGCTCTCGGGGTGTTGGCAGGAGGGATCTTTGATGCCCCCGTGAACCCACACCGTCACCGTGATCGCCGTCTACTCCTGGTACGATGTGTGATCCTCGCCGTGACAGGAGCGCATCCATCGCATCACCAATATCCTCACATGGGTCTGGTCTGGTCTGGTCACCTGGGTCTCGGGGCGGGGGTACACACTTCTTCATTATAATCCGACACGATATAGGGCAGGCAGGCTACAGCTCTTCTTCTCGATGTGGCCGCACCTCGAGACACACCGACATCGTCGGGATCCGCGTCGGCACACCAACCGTCAATGCGGACGGCGATCCCGGACCAGATGTGCCCCAACCTCCAACCTCTGTTAACAGCATGACACCCCCCTCTCCCTCCTACTAACGGGGTTGCGTTTGAAAAAGAAAGAGTCCATCAATGCACCACCTTGCTCCGCTGCATGTAAGTCGAGGTGTGCCCCATCCACACCACATCGAAACACACCTCGTTGTCACCCCCGGCCCTTCCAACACGCCACATACCAGGCAACGACGACCTGGAAACCATGGGCGGATCCCATACCTGCCCTGCTGCGGTGGTCCGGGTGGCGCGGAGTAGACTCCGACCCTCGACCCGTGCCGAGTCCGTGGGATCCAAAGTCTGGTTGAGGCGAGGCCTCGGGGGTTCCGAGACCCGAACAGACTCCACCCGAGGGTCGCTGTTTGGGAGTCGCCCGGGATTTGGCGGGTGCTGGTCCGGTGAGAGGAAAGGTGCGCCGTGGTCTGGAGTGACCGGTTCCCGTCCCGAACCGGGTGGGGGGGATAAGAGGAGTGGTATGATCGGTCTGGCGAGGTGAGAAGAAATGTTGGTTGTCTGCTTGCCGCTTTGAGGTTGACAATGTTGGCAATGCTCGATGATGACACTGGAAGAACCTCATGAGCGAAGGAAACGGCCGAAGAGAGATTGAAGAACCGGCGATAGATGCCCGTGAACAGTTCTTGTATATCCGATGGACGCACTCCTCCTTATGGTGCCGACTGCTTCCAGTTCGCCGTTGACCCAGGCAGCTCCGTCCGGCCATGCGACTCCGACGTGCCCACCTCCGAAAGGCCATGCCTTGCCGGCAGCTCCGACGCAGCAAAATTGGCCTCGAGCTCCTGCGGCGCGATCCCAAACCCAGGCTCCTCCCACTTCTCCGCGTCTTTAACCTCTCCCGGGGCCAGCTCAGCGGGCGACGAGACTCCCTGTGCCCTCCGTCGAAAAAAGAGCCAGAACGCCAGCCCGACTAGAGCGAGGCCCCCCACACCGGCGACCACCCCCCCGACGATGGCGCCGACGGGCGTTGATGGCGATCCGGGCGACGGCGACCCCAGCCCGCTGCCGCTAGGCGGGGGTGAATCCGGGTCCCCAGGAGCCGGCGTCGACACAGCCGCAAAGAGCCTCTCCACCTCCGGGCTCGACCACGTCACCGACTCCAGCCCCCCCTGGGAATACCACTCCCGGACAATGGCCGGGGACTCGTACGCCGCCGCGTCGGCATCGTATCCGTCGCTCCACGCCATCCGCGTCATGTCAAAGACGCCCAGCCCGTTCTTCCACGGATCCGGGTCGAGCAGCGAGTCGGGGAAGCCAAGGGACCCGTCCCCGCCGCCGACTGAGAGCAACTGTCTCTTTCCGACCACGACGCAGGAGTTAGACGACCGCTTCGTCGACGGGCCTGGTGGCGCCTTGAAGAAGACGAAGCCCGGGAGCGAGAGGACGTAGACCTCGTCCGACGCGCCTCCTGCGACGAGTAACCCGCCATACATGAATCTGGGGATGTCAGTACGGGAACAAAGAGAGCCAGCCGCCTCGGCGACTTACATCTCATACGTCCCATTCGGCCCCTGGACGCCCACAACGCAAAACTTCTCCCTCGGCGTCGGCCGCGTCCCCGTCGTCGCCTGGTAAAACCACTTCTGCCCTACACCAACAATCAGCATCCCATCCCCATCCTCCAAACTCGCACCCACCCTTCGGCTCATAAACAGCAACCCTCCCAAACCCCACCCCCGTCCCCTCCCCCGGCGCCTCAACCGGGCTCTCCCTCCCCCCCAGAAACACCAACACCCCCTCCCCCCCGTTCCCAAACGGCGTCCACTGCACCCCCCCCCCAACCAGCGTCCCAAACCGCCCCATCCCCTCCGTCGACGAGTTCCCGACCTCCCCACTCGTCATATCGAACGCCACCACCCCCGTCATCGCCAACCGCGTCTCCCCAGTAACACTCGTATCCGTCTGCGCGCTCGCCACCCCGCCGACCCAGTACCCCACCCCACCGCCGTGCGTCCACGCGCCGTCCGTGGCGCGGACGTTACGCGCCATCCCGACGACGTCGCGCGGGGGTTCCCGCTCCCAGGACCCGCGGCCGCGACCGTCGGCGGTGAACTTCCAGATCTCGGAGGACGGCGGCGGGGTAGCGAACCAGGGGGTTACCCCGCCCCAGACGTAAAAGGCGTTGCCGGAGGGGGCGCGCCACGCGGCCTGGGAGTTGAGGAGCGGGGCGGGTTTGGGGGTTGCGGTGAAGACGACGGTGGCGTTGGTCCAGGATGAGGCGAGGGGGAGGGAGAGGGTTGTGTTTACTGTTTCGCCGCCGGGTTAGGTCAGCTTGGGAGGGAGGGGGGGTAAGAGGGGGGCGACGTACCGGCGTACGAGGGGAGGCCGCCGGTGGAGTTTTGGCCGTTGTAGAGCTGCGCGACCTCGCCGCCGTCGATGTAGAGGTAGTCGCCGATGACGATGGCTTGGGAGGGCGGGTGTCAGTATTCTGAGAGAGGAGCGCTGTTCCCGTCCCCTGTCCCCCGTCTCACAACAGTCCGGATTCAACGTACCAACTGCCATGGGCCGTCGGAGAAAGTCCGAAGTCGACGGCGCGTCGTCGCGGGCCGCCAAGGTCCGCGGCTTCGGTCCCCACTCGGCCGACGCCCGGGGGAGGGGCGGCATGGCGCCGAGGAGGAGCAGGACCGTCGCACGCATTGTGGCTCTGTGGTACTCGGCCTCCGCCAGTGACTGGTAAAGAGGCGAGGGATTCCGAGTTCCTGGAGCCGACTGTCCTTGTGGGCGGAGAAAATATGGATGAGCTGAAAAGGCAGCGGCCATCAGCCGCTGTCCTCACCTGCAAGCACAATGCCTCGGTGATCATGGCACTGGCTGGGAGGTGTGGGTGGGAGTGCTGGACCACAGCCCAGACATCCCTGCTCGTAAGACGGGACAACAACAAGATATGGCCAAGGCCGAGGTAGCGTCAACGACCCGGAAAAGCGTTTCAAAGAACGGGTGGAAGATTGTTATTTTTCTGGGGTTATTGGATGGCCATAGGTCGAAAAAGCATTAAATAGGAGTGATGGCATAAATGCCATCACTCCTGTCAGCGATATCTCGGATAGGGGTAGCAAATGGGAACATCTCTGGGACAACACCCAACATCTTGGTCTCTACCAACCTACATCCCAGAGTCTACAGTGTACACTGCTGATGCGTAGCAAATACCCATCTGATATTCGGTACCAATGTTCAAACCATCGCTGAGAACCCTCTCGGGTCACCTCTAAACCATGACCAACGCCCCCATGCCAACGCCGTGCTGCCAACTCAGAGTCTAGTCGTCCGCCGCCTCTTGGCCGTATTGGTTGTTGTTTCCACCTCCGTGGCCGTATGCTCGTCATCCTCTGCATTAAGATTATGTTCATCCCGCGCCATCGACGTATCCCTCTGCGTGACGCTCGCCTGTCGAGTGCTGGTCCCCGTCGCGGCTCCCGCCCGCCCCACACCCGTGCGCCGCACCTCGGCAGACCGCAGCTCACTAAGCAGCTTGTCCACCTCCATAAACATGGCGCGCGTGTCGTTGACGACGCCAAACTCGTCCACCTTGTATCCGAGGGTGCCGTCGTGGTGCACGCCGTCGTGGCCTTCGGCTTGCGCATCGTTCTCGCCCACCAGAAACGAGGGACCAGGGCCGTGCCCGGGGTCGGGGTTGTACATGATCGCGTTGGAGAACATGTGCGCGAGCTCGCGGTCGAGCTGCCCGCTGTTGATGATGCCCTTGGGCGGCTGCAGGGCCTCCGAGACGGGGAGCCACACACTGCTAGTGTTGGGATCACCCCCGGACAGCGCGGCGGCCTGTTGAGCCGCCGCTTTGTTGCCGGCCGTGATGGCGGCTTTGATGCTCTTGAGGTCTTGGGGCTGCAGAATCACTTTATGGTAGCCTGGCGCATCCTTCTCGCGGATCGGCGCTTTGAACATGTTGGCGGTGCGATGTTGGATGATGTGCTCCAGGGCAGACCCGGATACCCGGTTAAACCCTCTTGTCCAAACCACCTCGTTCGCCGGCGGTGCTGCTTCTGCCGACTCGACCGCGGCAGGTGGCTCCGAGAACACATCACGGTTGTCGACTGGCGTCTGGACTGGCGTCGGCGTGTACTCGTCTCGCTTGCGCTTCGCCACCCTAGGGGCTTGGCGGCGGCCTGTGACACTCTCGTCTGCCGTCGTGTCCCCTGTCTCGGTCAACGGGGCCGGTGTAGTAACCTCGTCCTTAATCTTGGTCGGCTCTGGCCCGTTGACCGGTTGCGGGACAGCGTCTGGTTCGACCGAGGCCGAGGCGGCAGATGCCGGTCGCTGGGGGGAAGGGGCTGGTGGAACAGCTAATGGCGGGACCTCCAGGGTGGACGGCCCGGGTTTGGGAGGCGAAGCGACTTCCTGGGACTTGGGCGGATTGCGCGGACGTCCCACCTTTCGCTTGGGGGTGGGCGTTGTGACCACCGGCTCTGGGGTGGGTGGTGGCTTCTTTTGCTCCTGCTCTGGAGCTGGTTTCGGTGCTATGGCGGCCGGCAACGGCGCGGCTGGTGATGCAGACGCCGGCGGCTTGTTGGCAGCCGGGGCAACCACTGGTGGCTTGGCCAAGGGGGACGGGAGCGGCGCACGAGCCAGCACCGG